GTCCGTTCCTTTGTAGAAAGTAAAGTTTCTGATGGCCTTAATGTAAGTCTTGGCTTAATTTAAATATCACATTTCTTTCTCAAATATTTCTGAAGATAAATGTATCTGAATTAGATACCCTGCATTCTCCTAGATGTCACAGGAAGAAAGAAGGGAGCCTCATCTGTGCACATCCACCCTCTCAGCTTTCTCCACGGCTACAGTAAAAACAAGTCCTCAGCAGATTATGTCGTGCCTTGTTGCCTCATGTGAAGAGGCCAGCTAGGAAAGAACGCACCATAAATAAGTGGTGGGATGGGCTTGGAAGAGGCTCTCTCCAGCCCCGACTTCCACTGCTGTGGAAGGTGTACCAGTTCTCTCTGTGTATGAGGACATAGTCAGGTGGAGAAAAAAGTCTGTCTTTGCCTTTTTTTTTTTTTTTTTTTTTAATAGGTCACGCAGTTGCTGAAGAGGAGGCCAGAAAAGCCCACCAGCTCTGGCTCTCTGTGGAGGCGTTAAAGTACCGTATGAAGACGGCATCTGCAGACCTGCCCACTGTTCCCCTGGGTAGCGCAGTGGAGGCCATCAGAGTCAGCTGTTCCGATAGTGAATTTGCCCAGGCTCTAAGCGCAGCCCTCCCTCCAGAGTCCCTGACCCGTGGGGTGTACAGTGAAGAGACCCTTAGAGTCCGTTTCTATGCCATCCAAAAACTGGCCCACAGGGTAGCCATGATCGATGAGACCAGGAATAGCTTATACCAGTACTTCCTCTCCTACTTACAGTCCCTGCTGCTGTTCCCACCTAAGCAGCTGAAGCCACCAGCAGAGCTCTGCCCCGAGGATACAAACACATTTAAGTTACTGTCATACGCCTCCTATTGCATTGAGCATGGTGACCTGGAGCTGGCAGCAAAGTTTGTCAATCAGCTGAAAGGGGAGTCCAGACGAGTGGCACAGGACTGGCTGAAGGAAGCCCGAATGACCCTAGAAACTAAGCAGATAGTGGAGATCCTGACAGCATACGCCAGCGCCGTAGGAATAGGAACCACTCAAGTGCAGCAAGAGTAAGGTCTAGGAAGAGTCTTGTAAAGTCACATCTCATGTCAAAGGAAATTGGCAGTAATATATGAAGGGTTTGCAACAAGGTCTCAGAACTGCCTAGAAATGAGCAGGTGACAGGTACTGTTCTAAATGTTAACACCTGTTGCATTTATATTATTCCTTCTTGCTGTCATGTCAGTCAACTCCAGGAGCACTTTATTTGCAACTTGGGTAACATTTTCTGTTTTTCAGGTTTTACTGATCAGGCTTGTGAGCCAGTGAAAATAATGTTTGTGGTCACTGTACTGTTGGTTTTGCCCTTGGAGCAAACTGAATAAAACAGAAATTGAAAACTGAGCAGCTTATCCCTTTTCAAAAAGTATCATTTCTAGTTTGTTGTGTATATGGAAAATTTCCTTGAGAAGCAGAAGTAGCAGAAGTAGCAACTCCTGGGCGCTCAGAGTTGCCAGGCTGTGAACCGGGTTTCAGAAGCCCTAGGCCTGTTCTTGGCTTTGAAGGTCCTAGTGAACTGATTCCTGCTGGTCAAACTCAAGAGTGATGTAAATATAAGCCAAAATGCCAATATGTTTATAATTGGAGATATGTCATTCCAGTGATTCATAGGCACTAGAAATAGTCTGTATCCCAAACTTCAATTGCTACCACAGGGAAAAATAATATTTTATATTGGGATCCAATACACCCGCACGCACCCTTATATGAATGTATACATGAAACGGTTTCTGGAACCATTGCTTCTCCTTTCTACTTGTGATGTACTGTGTTCTGGTCTGTGGCATTAGAAAAATGTTGGTGTCTTCTCTACCCACAAATTAATTCCACAGCCCTCAGAAAAGTTCATGGCTCCCAGTTCTGGAACACTGGTAGTTGACCTTGCTCCTTTCTGGTATGTGGACTGTGAATCTCTCCATTGAAGTGGGGGTGGGGAGCCTGGAATCTTAAAGGGGTTCAATAATTTTGTGGTATATTTGAACTGGATTGCTGTAAAACCCAGAGAACTTGCTTACATAGTTCACTTCTCTGAAGATTAGAACAGTTGCCATATTGGGTAAACATTAACCAGTGTTTCACCTTCCATTTTTTACTTCATGAAGTTACCGTCAACATATTTTTTCAAAATCATGATTTTTTGTTGAGGTTTTTTTTTATATAAATTTATTTATCGTATTTTATTTTTGGCTGCGTTGGGTCTTTGTTGCTGCGCGTGGGCTTTTCTCTAGTTGGGGCGAACGGGGGCTACTCTGTTGCAGTGTGCAGGCTTCTCATTGCAGTGGCTTCTCTTGTTGCGGAGCACGGGCTCTAGGCGCGTGGGCTTCAGTAGTTGTGGCTCACAGGCTCTAGAGCGCAGGCTCAGTAGTTGTGGCTCACAGGCTCTAGAGCGCAGGCTCAGTAGCTGTGGCGCACGGGCTTAGTTGCTCCGTGGCATGTGGGATCTTCCCGGACCAGGGCTCGAACCCATGTCCCCTGCACTGGCAGGCGGATTCTTAACCACTGCGCCACCAGGGAAGTCCTTTTTGTTGAGGTTTATGTGTTCATAAACAGATTATTGAGAGGCATTTTTATCTGAGCAGCATATCTGGAAATCATGAAAAAGGGTTGTCTATGTATTTCTGCAGGCCTGTCCCGGCTCCTGATGGTTACATTCAGGTCTGCATGGCGCCTGACGTTGTCCTTTGATTTGGGGACCCAGTGGTTCGTTTGGTGTTATTAACGGTCCTTATGTTCCCCCTAAGTGGATTCTTAATTCAGCACATCTAGTTTCTGACTGGAACACACACTTTGTGTGATGTCCTTAATCTCTGCAGGTAGAGGTACTCTCGGCACCTGTGGGCCATTAAGCTTTGACTAGAAGATAATGAGGCTGTTCTAAATTAAGCCTTTCTTCCCTTTGGAATAGCATGAAATTGTAGAATACATTAACTTGCAAAGCTGACTAACTTGTCATGTTAGAAGTGTTCATAATTTTTATTTTACTCAGGAAATGTGTAAAACATTACAGATTAAAAGGAAGTAAATTTCTCTAGGAGCCCAGGAATAACTTCCTTCGGATGTGATTATCTGAGCTCACAGGAAGCAAGCAATACTGAGCGGTTTATTTCAGCTCTCTAAATCAAATAACAAAAGCCACTGGCTTTCAATTTTAGTATTCCTTTAGCAAACCTCCCCAACCCTCACTGCATATTGAGAAACAAGATGATGTTGAAAGGGGACTCTGCTTGTCCAGGCCCTGATTTTTCTTCCTCATGCCCAGTAAGATTCACATCTTCCTGAGCTATCACTCAGCAACCCCTTAGGTGAAAAGGGCCTTCACTTGGGCCTAAAGAGCCTTTACGTGGGTTCTCAGTTCTACCTTCAAGGAGGTGGAATCATTAAAACTCTGATACTTGCCTTAATGTTGTTTAAAGTTTCTAAATCAGCAAAGTAAGTAAAATGTAAATTAGGCAGTCTCTTTTTTTAAGGCACGGTACTTCTGTGTTCCTTAGTATTGACTTAAACCCTCTGCTTTCTTAACAGGTTCTGCATAAAAGCAGTCTCCAAGCCCCAAATTAGTTGTCCCACGACTTTTAAAGTAATTTGAACTCAGTGCAGAAGTAACGATAATTTAACATAAACAGGAAATAAAAAGTGATTACATTTCAGGCAAATCACTCATCAGGTCCAGTGGGCACCATTTACCTGAAGCAGGGCTCGGCTCAGCTCCCCTGGTTTCCTCCCTGCGGATGCATTCAAGGGCTGGGGGATCTGAGAAAGCAGAGGGAGCATTGAGGAGGAGGGGCTTTGCCTGGGCACACCCCCCTTTTCCACAGGGGGTGGTGCCACGGTTTCACTGGTTGGTCCAGGTTAGCTGTAAGGACGCTGCCCTGGGGTCTCAGGAAGAAAGAGGAGGGGCTCTGGAGGGACTGTGGGGCACAAGCCAGCAAAGGCGCTGCTGTTGTGGGAAAAGATGGCGCTGGTATCGGCAAAGCTTAGGTTTTCCTGGGGATGAATTCTATTGTCACCTTCACTTCTCTTGGACGTTCTCAGTTTTCAAGAGTAAAGTCTTGCTGAGCTCTGTGAACTTGGGTTTGATCTCCAGTGTTCCTTCTAAAATCTTCTATAAAGTCCACAGCTATGCAGGTTGGCTAGACAACTTTTTTTTAAAAATAAATTTATTTTACTTATTGATTTTTGGCTGCGTTGGGTCTTTGTTGCTGTGCGCGGGCTTTCTCTAGTTGCAGTGAGCGGGGGCTACTCTTCCTTGTGGTGCACGGGCTTCTCATTGCGGTGTCTTCTTGTTGTGGAACATGGGCTCTAGGCGCGTGGGCTTCAGTAGTTGTGGCTCGCGGGGCTCAGTACTTGTGGCACACGGGCCGAGTTGCTCCGAAGCATGTAGGAGCTTCCCGGACCAGGGCTCAAACCCATGTCCCCTGTATTGGCAGGCGGATTCTTAACCACTGTGCCACCAGGGAAGTCCAAGGACAGTATCTTGATGTTGAAGGTGATCATATGGGTGATGGTTACTTTGTCCAGGAAAGGCCCCAGACAACATTCTTTTACAGGTTAGGCTCCTTCCTGGGCCAGGCTGGAGACTCCTTCACCCCCACTTTGTGTACCTTACATTTGCTCACTCCATGTCCTAGCACACCACCTTAATCAACCGAATAAAGTATGCCCATTTCTCGGGTAAACTGCCACTCTACCACTGAGATCTAATCTAAGTGATTCTGTAAACTTTGCCCTGCCCATCCACACTCCTGGTGACTGCCATCTTACAGCACGTCCTTTTACCAGCAGTAAAATAATTTACATCGCCATCAGGTACACTTATACGTGTTTATCAATATGCATATATCTGTGGTGCTGTAAGAATGTCACACAACTTGAACATATACAATGTACTTAATTTTCTAATCCGTTTCATTAAAATATTCTAGTCATCTTCTGCAAAAACTGATTTCAAACCCTGCTGTTTGAAGGATGTAAGAGTACTCAAATGTTCTATTGAACCAAAACCAAAATTGATAGGTTATTAACTTTGGCATAGAAAAACAGAACGCCTTATACTATTAGAGGGTAAAGAGAGAATGGAGACCAATCCTACAGGCCTTCCTTAATTTTTTTCTGAAAAGCTGAAAGCAGTTATTTTGCCCAGAATAGGAATCTGGAATGTCTGTAGCACAGAGTTAAGACCACATGGCCACAACATCACCCACTTGGAAAGTCCACTACAAACTCACGTGCCATCAGCCCAGATGGACCTTTCCCCCATCAACGCCATAGCTGCAAAGCACGATGCTGAGGACTGTTCTCTGGCAGGATTCCCCGGCAATGTAAGTGTTCTGCATCTGTAAGGACTGCACTGAATGCATACTCGGCCCAGAAGAATCAGCCATTTCCAGGTGCTGATGAACCAGAGGGAAAGGGAGGGGCCAAGTTTACAGAAGCTTCCAGGCAGCCAAGTTCTCTTTGCAGGTTTTAAGGCAAGATCACAGGCTAATCTGCCCTACCTATCCCTTTTGCTCATTTGCTATGTCAAGGGGCTACTGGGGCGATGCACATGAATACTTAAGTAGCTAGTTGCTGTCATTTCCCCTGCCCTCTGTCTCTCACTTAGATGTCTTAAATTCTGGTGATCTAGGAGAAAACATGAGTCAATACTTAGGTTTCTGAGGATGTATGACTGACTGGGTCCTGGCCAGAGGATAGCCAAATGGAGATGGGGACAGGCACATGTTACAGACACATGTACAACACGGTAGCCCATAAATGGCAACCCCGGCAGGGTAAGGACGAAGTTGCTCACCCGAGAACTCCTGGGATGCCTGGGTGAATCTGGCGATCAGATTATGAGCTAAGCAGCCTGCGCTAGAAACCCTTGTGAAGCTCCTGCAAGCCTCACAAGCTCCTGTTTGCTTCCCAGACCACTTGCAAGTCATGAGAGAGGCTGGAGTAGAGGTTCTCGACCTACTCGATTACCAGCAATACACAATTATGTCAAGAAGACACTTCAATCCTCTTGTCATCACATACATTTAGGCCGCTTTAAGTACAGCACAACTGAAGGTGCCAGCACTCACACAGAGAGAAAGGGGGAGATGAAACTCTCGTGCAAGGCCCAAGCCTAGTGGGAGGCTGTGGGCTATTCTATAAAAATAATGGAAATGCATACATACGTACCTCAGTTACAGTATTTATTTCCAGTCTTCATCTTCCCAGCTGTGCAGCCTAAACTCCTGACGTTGTTCAATCAGTTCTAAGATTAATAATTTCCCACATATAAATATCCCTGAATTTGGCTACTACTGACCCAGTATCAACTGTGATGTAATTGTACAAAAACTTCCTTTAGACGCTTTCTGAGTCGGAGGAAGTGTCAGGTCATAGCATCAGCCAACAAAGGCTACAGTCCCCAATGGGGGAGGGGCAAACCACACCGACATCAGCTGACAAACACTGCAGTTGGGCGGAGCTTAACATCACAACGTGTGTCCAAAGAAATGAAAATGGCAGTGCCCCTTCTGTTCACGTGGGAACCCTGGCATGGATGGTTTAGTTCAGGAATTAAACGTAAACAAGTGAGCGTTGTTATCAAGATTCACCAAATCTGTATTCTCTTGTTTTCTTCACATTACAATTAAATACTAACATCTTCAGTTCTCAAGTGTAATCACAACAGCCACGCTAGGCCACAGTAGCTCCTGATTCGACCACTTTTATTTGCCTTCGCCGACGTCACTGTCACTGTCACTGCTGCTGTCACTGTCGCTGTCACTGGTCAATGCAGTTAGATCTCCCAGGGCTTCCCTGTAAGAAAAATAAATGGGAGGGTTACACTGCAACTCAGGCTCGGGGCTGGGCGACTCTGCAGCTGCACTAAAGCAACAAAGGAAAAGGTTCCAACCAGCAAATAAACCTATAGGCCTCCCTGACTTTTATGACAAACGAAAAATATCGTTAAACCAATACATCCTGACTTTCTGCAAGGAAAGGAAGTTCAGGGGGTAGAAAGCTACAAACATCTGAATGGGCAGACAGACAAATGGTCTGCTCCATTTTCATAACTTTCCTTGATGGTGATGTACAGGACCCACTTACTTCTGCTCCTGGCTGAGGGTGAAGTCAGCCATTAGTCTCTGGGTGAGGCTCTCACAAATAGGTAAGCTGAAGGCACCTGCCAGCTTCACTATCTCAATGGCCTGGGCAGGGCTGCCGGATGCTTTTGCACTGTCCATAAACTCATTCAGCAGCTCATTCCTGTGAAAGGCAAAAATGTCAACATTCCCCAACTAAACCCCTCAAAGATTCACATACAAAATCTAGTACCTTACAAAGATCAGTCGTAAAATCCTCAACAGTAGCTTTGCAGACAGTTACATGGAGTCTAACTTTAAAGGGCCAAATAAATAATGAACACTGGTTCATTATGCCTTCACTGAGGATCCAGCCAATGTATCCCCAGCGTGCTGTGATCACTGAGCACAGATTGAAAAAAACAGCGCTTGCCTCAGGGTGCCTTAGATGGTAGGAGTGACCGATCACCTACCTGCCTAACAGAAAAGTGCCCAATTGCCATGGCTGAGGTACGTGAGGAAATTCCAACCCCCTTCCCCCAATAAGAGTTAAACGCATGTGGCTAATCCAGGATGTCCCCAGGCAGCCCTGTTAACTTGAACTTACCCAGGGATCTTATTATGTTTCCTGAAAAGCCCCAGCATTTTCCTGTTCAAGATGAGATAGGAAAAAGGTTATGAATACTAATAGAACAGAAGGCAACCGAATGACCATAGCTTTTCTCCTGGACTCAGAGACCAAGTGTCCTTCCTGACAAGCAGAGGGGAAGCTCCTGGAGACACGTCTGTGAGCTCCACCAGCTCCCAGCCCTATCTTCCCATCAGAATCACCCCAGGTGCCTCAGCCCCCTCTTCCCAAACTTCATATATGCACATAGCATTACAAATTTCAAAGGCAAATCTGCTTTGGTGCCAGCGTTGAGAATTGCTGGGGCATATCCTCCTCCAGAGGATCACTTCTGTCCCCCCGGGGAGGGAATGTATGATATTATGTGGGCAGTGGGAAGAGAGGGATGCAAATACAATTTGATCTCTTTCCTCTTACAATCCAGTGTGAGCTCAGTGTGTCCTAAAACGACGTTACGAAGAGCAGGCTCAGATTAAGGCATCAGTCTCATGTAAGTGCTTGCCGTCATCCTGCCACACGCAGGACAAAGGACAAACACATACACTCAGCTCCCATGATCAGCTGAGGTCCGTACCCCTGCGCCAATCATCACAGCCTGATTCATAACAAGCGTGTGTCAACCTGCCCTAGTCGACAAGTCCAAGCATCAAATGTTTGTCAGCAGCTGTGTAGCCGGCTGTGTGATTTGCCACCAGTTATGATCAGAGGAGGCAGCAAAACCTTTAGCAGCCTTTCGTGGAGAGAGCAAACATCCACACCGTGGACTGACCATCATGTTCAAATTACGGTCCTCTCCAGTGAACAGCCAGGCACAAGAAGCCCTGTCACTGGCTCTTAACACCAACACACGGTTATATCCAAAACAATACACATCGGAACCGCCCCTAGCAAGGACTCTCACTGACTTCTCCACTTTTGGAAAAACGACTATGCATAACGTCTCTATTCACAGTTAAACACCAGAAATTAGTATGTGAGTGAAGTGCTGATGAACACACAGAACTAGAATACAGTGGCACAAACCAAAGACGGGTTCTAGTCAAGGCCAGGTTTAGTAAACTGGTAAAATGCCAGGTTCCGGAAGTCCCAGTACACAGCCCACATTTTAAGCTGGGGGGCGGGGGGGGCAGAGAAGCATCCATGAGATGACTTGAATAAACCAAATGACCAAAACATTTTCAAAATTAAGATTCTCTAATCACTTTGTTCTACTCAAGTGAACGGAGAAGTGACTCGCCCACAAATACAGAAAACAAAAACGGAAAGAGAATGAGCCCACTGAACCACACCTTCTCTTAAACTCATCATGTATACTGGTTCCTCTTGCCCAAGTTTGCTTTTTTAGTTGGTATTTGGAAATTCCTATAGAAAACACACTACGTAGAAAACTCGTTTGTCTCCTGATAAACTACATAGTGTGCAGCCAAATTAGAGAAACGCTAACGACCGGGTAGAAGTTCTCTGAGATCCAAGTACAGATGCTTCCAGTGACATGTGCGGCATGTACTGTACTCACCAGGCTTCCTGGGTTCTCCCGGCCCTCAAGAAGAGGACGGCTATGTGGTTCAGAGAGCTGGCCAGCCAACTGGGAGCCGTCTGTCTGGCATCCTGGCTTTCGTAAGTCGATTTGATATCTGCAGCACAGTCAGCAAACGCCACCTGCAGCTGAGACGCTCTGAGAGTCAGCAGAAATTTAAGTTCGGGAGACTCCATAGGACCATTAAAATTTTTAAGCAATGCATTTTACCGTTGGAACACATCACATGTGCAGCACACAGTAATACAGTATTTAAGAAAAAAAAAAAAGCAAAGCACTCTGCCCTGGGGTAATAATGGGATCAGCCACATATTTCAAATCCAACTACAGGTTTTCTTTTTAGAGAGAAATTTACAAGAAGGCAAGCTGCTATTAACTGTCAGGATCGAGAGGATCCACTTTCATGCTGCTTGCTTTGGACTAGAGGAGTAAGAGTGACTTTAGATGGCAGAATTCTCCACAATGATAGGTAAAACCATGGAAATGACCCTCACCGGCTGTCAGTATTAGAGGATACACTGGTTAGTATACATCTAATAACAACAGCAAAACCTGAGTGTCAACACAAGCCTACCTCTGGTGGGTGCCGATCCCTTGCCATAAGCATGAGAATCTCTTCTTTTAGGTCACGGCGAAAAGTATGACCATATTCTTTACTATCTAGAAACAAAAAAGAACAGAGTGAGAAGTGGTCACTGGCATGTACAACCAAGACTCTTTGGCTGACCTTTGTCCACTGTCAGCAGTCACCCATATTTGTTTGGAGGGGTGGACATACATTGCTGACATGTATTCCAGGATTCCAGAAAACTAGCAGGATGATTCATGGTAGGAAAGGACAAACGAGCAGTGAAAGCCAGCACCAGTTACGTGCTCCCAGGCAAGTGTTAACGCGGCACGTGCACCACACTCCAGCAGCCACCAGCTCCACGCGGCTCTACAGCACGTGGGAATCGTCAGTAGTCCTTGTACACTATCATTAGAGCAGCCTTGTAAGGTAGGAGGGCGGGGCTATAGTCTCTGTCTCAAGGCAACTTGAGGCAGACGGAAAGTGATTTTATGATCAGTCACCTAGTGGATGACATACAGCATCTTCTGCAGCCAATTTACACATAACCACACACACAAACCCAGTCATGGCTGTTTCTTAGAAACCTGAGTATCACTGACTGGTTAACTTTTTTCTAATTTATTTATTTAACTTATTTTAAAATTTTTGGCTGCATTGGGTCTTCGTTGCTGCACGCGGGCTTTCTCTAGCTGCGGTGAGCGGGGTCTACTCTTCCTTGCGGTGCGTAGGCTTCTCATTGCGGTGGCTTCTCTTGTCGCGGAGCATGGGCTCTAGGTGCTCGGGTGTCAGCAGTTGTGGCACGCGGGCTCTAGAGCGCAGGCTCAACAGTTGTGGTGCACAGGCTTACTTGCTCTGCGGCATATGGGCTCTTCCCGGACCAGGGATTGAACCCACGTCCCCTGCACTGGCAGGCGGATTCTTAACCACTGCGCCACCAGAGAAGCCCCTGGTTAGCTACTGAAGCACAGTGATGCAACATGGTATAGAGGAACGAACGGCACAGGCTTCGGGGGTTGATATTTTGGGTGTCCCAGGTAATTAACACTGATGTCACACAACTGCACAAAACCCAGCCTTTTCTTGTCACAAAGGAACCAATTTAGGTCTTTTCCACTACACTGTCACTCATGCAATCCAATATGTAACATGAGCAAATGACCCTGAAGTAGACCTCAACTACTGCATTCAATTTAGTCAAAAATGGAAGTTTTTGGGACTTCCCTGGTGGCACAGTGGTTAAGAATCTGCCTGCCAACGTAGGCGACACGGGTTTGAGCCCTGGTCCGGGAAGATCTCACATGCCGCGGAGCAACTAAGCCCATGCGCCACAACTACTGAGCCTGTGCTCTAGAGCCTGCGAGCCACAACTACTGAGCCCACGTACCACAACTACTGAAGCCCGCATGCCTAGAGCCCATGCTCCGCAACAAGAGAAGCCACTGCAATGAGAAGACCGCACACCGCAACGAAGAGCAGCCCCCTCTCGCTGCAACTAGAGAAAGCCCGCGCACAGCAAGGAAGACCCAAACAAAGCCAAAACATAAATAAAGAGTAGTAATAAATTTTTAAAAAAAAGTAGTTTTCTTCCCTAACAGTGTTAACATGCTTGTTAATCAAAACATAAGACAAAATGAGATGGGTCAGGACACATAAGCTGAAACTGACCTTTCCAGATCTGAGGAATCAATTCTAGACGATTGGCCACATCTAATGCTTGAAGAAGATCTATCAGTGTTTGGGAATGTGGAAAGAATACCTGATTCAGAAAAATACAAATACATTTTTTAAGTGTTACTCAGCAAAGACAACCACAAACATCTACAATGATAAACGGTAAGTAATGAATCATCTTACTGAAGGTATCAGGTCCTTATACCACTTCAAGGTGACATCAATTTGTTCCATTAGACAAAGCAAACCAAAGAACTTGGAACTGTAATGGAGAAAGAAAGCATGTTTAGTTTAAAATCCGTGCTTAATAGGGGAATGACTAAATTACAGCACAGTCATATGATGACGCGTTACACAGAATTTAAAGACAGTAAGTTACACACAATTTCAAGTTACACAGGCCAATGCTGGACCCAGGAGGTGCTGCGTGCTTTCTGGACTTCCCAATTAACACCTTCTAATCCTCAACCAGTCACTGATGCCACCTCCTGGTTATACTCTCAGCTCACGGTGAGGAGAGAGCAGGTCTCCTATTCACTTTAAAAGCGTTCAACGTGAAGCGAGGACTTGGACCACAGAGAAGAGAGCCGTCACACACCTATACACAGTCTGCCTCCTGAAGTTCTGGTTTTCCTCTGTTTAAAAGCAAACCCACTTAAGGAGTCTCTTTGGGCTCCAACATGTTCATCTTCAAAAACAAATGAGGCTGCAATGAAATCTTTAGGGACCCACCCTCCTATGAATTCAAAAACATAAAATAGGAGGGTTTACAGGGAAAAGATACACGGATTTAAAGTGTTACAGGGACATCCCTGGCAGTCCAGTGGTTAAGACTCCACGCTTCCACTGCAGGGGTTGCGGGATAGATCCCTGGTCATGGAACTAACATCCTGCACGCTGTGCGGTGAAAAAAACAAAAAACAAAAACAACAACAAAAACCCCCCAAAGTGTCACAAATAAAAACAGCTTAAAAGATACACAGCAGACATCTCAGTCTGACAAATCAGTTTTACCACTGCTTGACTCTTCAAGTGTTCAATTAACTTACACTGTTAAGTCAGGGTCAAGCTGCCTAAAATTAGGCCGCCAATAGCCTCCCACTGGCAGAACTGACTACTGGTTGCATACAGGTGCTCCGTTAATGCAGAAGGATACATTTCCAATACACTTACTAGTAGAAATAACGCCGATGATCCGGTCCAATGAATTTCCGGTTGTCTCCAGTGTTTAAAAGGTCATGGACCTGGTAAGCAAGTTCTAGATCTCTGAGAGATGAGCACTGAAAATTTACAAGTAGTAAATAAGCATCATTCTGCGATCCTTATCAGCCCAACAGTGGCTCATTACATAAAGAGCTCATTATATAAAGAAGTACAGTTACCTGCATCTATGCTGGTTAATGTTAAAACATCTATGCTGATTTAACATTATTATTGGTTGACAGCAAATGAATTACAAGAAAATGGGGGGGAGGGAGGAATCAAAACAAATCACCAAGTTCTGTGAAATTTAAAACAAAATAACCTTAATCTAGTAATTATACCTATATTTAGTAACTATATGAAAACACCTGGTTGCCATGCACAAGACAGCTGGAGTGCTCACTCCAGCATCACTATACTGGCAAAAAACCCATGAAATAACTCCAAAACCCACCCACAGGAGAAGTCCTTCCCTCCTGTGAAATAACCGTACTGCTGTCAACAAACAAGATAACATGGAAATGAGTCTGGACGTGCATGTCTGAATAACCAAAGGAGAAAACCTGGAAGGACACTCACTAAAATGTACAGCAATTATCCTTAGGGAATAATATATATATAATAATATATATCCTTAGGGAATAATAGGATATGCTAATTCATTCTGAAACTGCTTGAAAATTTTCCTATGATTAGTATGATAAGATGAAAAACCAAACTTAAAAACCATCAATTTAGGGCTTCCCTGGTGGCACAGTGGTTGAGAGTCCGCCTGCCAGTGCAGGGGACATGGGTTCGTGCCCCGGTCCGGGAAGATCCCACATGCTGCGGAGCGGCTGGGCCCGTGAGCCGTGGCCGCTGAGCCTGCACGTCCGGAGCCTGTGCTCCGCGACGGGAGGGGCCGCAGCAGTGAGAGGCCCGCATACCGCAAAAAAAAAAAAAAAAAAAAAAAAAAAAACCATCAATTAAAAAAGTTACCAATAGGCAAATATGAAATACTCTGAAACCTTACTTTCAAACCTTACTTTCTGAAGAAAGGTATGAAAAAAGAAAATGTATACAATAAACACAGGGCAGGAATGTTGTGATTTTGTAGAGATTTAAGAGGAATAAAAATTAGAACTAAAGACATGAATATAAGTAAGAGTCAGGAAGTGCAAGAATCAGGGAGAATCCCCCCACCTCCCCAATGATGAATTTAGGAGATGGATAAAAGAAAAAAGGAAAACAGAAGTTAAGCAAGAAATTGTACTTACAACCCTCATGGCTGACTGAAAAAACATATCTGCAAATCAAAGTTCACAAGAGCGTTGGTTACTATGGATAAAACGTTTTCAAGTCAGTAACATTAATAAAAATCCTGGCAACAAAACTGGTAACGTGTAAGACAAACCTAACGGCGTAAAAACTCAGGAGGGGAAGCACAGGAAGCATACAGCTTCCAAGAATCACTAAGCTAAATTAAACCCTGTCCTCATCAAGGCTCTAATACCCGGCAGTCAGGAAAACAGGGCTCTCTGTCTTATACAAGCAATTTCTGTACATACCGTCATCCGGGTCCTTTGGAGAAAATTTCTTTCCCATTAATTCATTCATGATGTCATAGATGATGAGGGACGATCCTTTTGAAGGGTTTTCTGCAGAACAAGAAGGCAACTGGGTTTTCTCATGAGTTCACTTCCTGTACAACCACCGGGTGTGCAGAACTAGTCCTAAGGCCGCATTTCTCCTTCCTCCACCCAAGGCACGGAGCTGGCCGGGCACATCCCTGCTCGAGCAACGAGTGCACCCTCTGCACAGAGTGCAGCTCTCCCCAAGACCTGGGACAGTTACAGGTGCTCCCAACAAAGACTCCACCCTTCCTTCTTAGGCTCCTCACAAGGTCGACTTGCATTGAAACGGGAGACAGACAGACCCTCACTAAGCCTGCATACTTAGAAAACAAACATGTTTTTGCTAATAAACATTTGCGCTCCTTTTAAATATAACCAGGATGAGAGCCAAGAAAAAGAAAACTGTAGAATTAAAATGCACCTATGACATTTCCAGTTAAACATTTCACATTATTAATCCACATCCCTTCCCCACCTTATCCATATGCAAGTGATAATATACTTTCCATGACAGCACAGATGTACTTTTGAAGTTCCTCAAGCATGTTTTCATTTGTTAGCAATCCTAATTATTCTGTTAGTTTTATAATAACCTATTTCATATGTATCATTTCTTCATTATTTTAGGCTTTCTCCTTTGGGTAAATTCCTAGAAATTATTATTACAGGCAGCCAATTTATATCCCTCAGACACACCAACACTCCTCCCCCCACGGCCCTGGGTATTACTTAGGAAGCACAAGTACCAATGACTTTAGTTAGCAATGGAACCAAAGTGATATGCGATGTTGAGGAGAAATGGAATAGGCTTTGGGGTCAGAAATAATAGCTTCAGCAAAATGATACCAAAGTTGAGTAAAATTTTGGAAGACAGAATTACCATGGAAACTGTTTACCTGTCTTCAAGATAAAGTCAGTTAACTGCCCTTACTTCCCGACAGGTGAGAATGTGAATTTTGTAAAACTAGCCCTCCAAAACAGATAATCGAGGTTTTCTGTTGTTTTCACACATAAAGTCTACCACAGGACAGAAGGACTAGAATTGTCATTTCTGAACCCAGAGGTTCTTTCTCAGGTTGGGGCAAATGGATAGGAACCAACAGACTGTGAGTGCCTACTACCTGCCTTCCAAGCACAGGACAGGACACTGTGCATAATTCATTTCATCATTACACCGTGATGGCATCACTCAGGTAAAGTATCCAGTGCCTGCTGACACAGGTGGTAAATGGTAGAGGTGAAATTTCAACTCAGGTGTGCCTTGCTCCAAAGTCCATTCAATAGAGCACAGCTGACCTAAAACTAGGTGACAAACAGAGCCTCAAGGTTCTCCCATGAGGTTTCAAAAGAAAGTTAAGGTTACTGTGGGGCAGCACCGTCCAGCAGCTTCCTGCAAGGATGGGAATGCTCTGCACCTGCATCGCTGAACATGTAGCCAGCAGCTACGAGCGGCTACTGAGCACTAATGCCATGAAGGAATTTTTAATTTTATTTCATTTTAATTCAATAGCCATGTGTGGCTAAGTGGCTACTGTATGGGACAGCACAGCTCTGGAGAGCAAAAGGAACTCCAGACTAGTTTCTCCTGACCAAAACTGTCCACCATCCTTTCTTTTTTTTAAAAAAATAATTATTTCTGGCTGCATTGGGTCTTCGTTGCTGAGCAAAGGCTTTCTCTACTTGCGGCGAGCGGGTGCTACTCTTCGTTGCGGTGCGTGGGCTTCTCATTGCGGTGGCTTTTCTTGTTGCGGAGCATGGGCTCTAGGCGCATGTGTTCAGTAGTTGTAGCTCACGGGCTCTAGAGCGCAGGCTCAGTAGTTGTGGTGCATGGGTCTAGTTGCCCCGTGGCATGTGGGACCTTCCTGGACCAGGGCTTGAACCCGTGTCCCCTGCATTGGCAGGCGGGTTGTTAACCACTGTGCCACCAGGGAAGCCCCACCATCCTTGTTAGTACATTTAATGACCTCCCTCCCCTCCAGCTCAAGTTTTACATCACAAACAAGATGTTACTCTCCTCAAGAATAACGGTTTGCTCAGGCTGTAGACAATGTTATTTTGTGAACTGTCTAGTCTTAATTCATAAGCAGTGAAGTTAGCCTAATTTCTACATAAATTAGTAGCATAATGACATACATACCATGTTGATAAAACAGCTGAATAATATAGTGATACGTTGCAAGCGAGGGTTCTTATATTACCAGGTACATAGAGGAAAAAAATAAAATAAGTCAAACACAGCTATACAAAATACAGCTCACTGAGGCACACTGATCTAAAAACATATTAATGTTGGTATTTAAGTAAAAGATACATTTCTGTTCCTCTGAACAAAGACATTTGCTAGCTCATATGATCAATGTAAAGATGGAAAGGTGTCAGAGATTGAATCCCTCTTAGAAAGCCCAGACACCTATTACAGCCAATGCACAATGAGTTTCATTTAAGAAAACTAAAGCATACCAAAGTGAATTGATTCCCAAAACATCCTTCAATAAAGTAATTACTGAAAAATATACAACACACTAGGCACACAACTGGGTTCAAATACTTATACTAGAAAATGTCACGAGTTTAAAACCAGCCAACTGTAGGAGAACAATTCTCCCTAGAATTAAGAAATCCATAAAAAAGTACCTAAAATACTAAAAGAATGTAACTTCCTATAAACAACACAAAGATGATAAAAGAGTTCCCATCATAGTAAATACACATAATTAAAATGTGCTAAATGGTGGAAAGGAAATTCCCAACATACTATGTAAACAGCAAAAGAGTTTACAGTCTCTTTTTTGCTTGTCTGGACCTGAAACCTCTGGTCAGCACTGTCTTCAGTGAGGGACACTAGGACACATCCTCACCTATTCCAATGGCTTTCATTTCCCGTAAGGTCTGTAAGGCTGGCAATTTTCCAATTGCATGAAATCGTCGGAGACATTTCAGAATAGTATTAAAAGTCTGTAGGTTGGGTTTCACGTTCTGTGCAACCATTTGTTTCAACAGGTCCTAGTTGAATCAAAAGCAGGAAGTATTTTTTATGGCTGGTAGGTAATTTATCCAATAAACTAATGTAACATACTAAAAAAGACTTGGGGTCTCTGCCTATGTTTAAAGTAGATTTATAAATACATCCCCAATTTCAGAATTATCTAGTAACTAGCAGGACGACTAACTCTGCCCCTTAGAGAAGCCCCTCCATCAGTTACCCTGACAGCATGTGATCAAGGTGTCCAACTGTCTTTAGTGGCCCAGTGAGTTTGAGACTGAAGCAAGAGAGCAGACTAGAATGGATTGCGTTTTTTCCTTTTTTACATGCGCAGTATGGTATAACACGGTTTCTATTCCTGTCACTTCAATCCAGTGATTTCAATCTTTTTAAAAAATTAATTTATTTTATTTTTCGCTGTATTGGGTCTTTGTTGCTGCTGTGGGCTTTCTTTAGTTTTGGAAAGCGGGGTCTACTCTTCGTTGCGGTGCACGGGCTTCTCATTGCAGTGGCTTCTCTTGTTGTGGAGCACAGGCTCTAGGCACGCAGGCTTCAGTAGTTGTGGCACGTGGACTCAGTAGTTGTGGCTCAAGGGTTCTAGAGCACAGGCTCAGTAGTTGTGGCGCACGGGCTTAGTTGCTCTGCGGCATGTGGGATCTTCCTGGACCAGGGCTCGAACCTGTGTCCCCTGCATTGGCAGGCAGATTCTTAACCATTGTGCCACCAGGGAAGCCCCTCAATTTTTTAAATCTTAGCTAATAAATTTTTTCAATAAATGTGTCTCATTTTAATGAAAAAACCATTATGAGAAATAAGTGAATAGAGCAACCCAGGTCTTCCTGGATTCGAGCTGTATGCTTGGGTCACATGTCAGATACACCTACGTAAACTACAGGGTTGCTGGAAGGGTGTGAACAGGTCACCATGAGCTGAGCGCCCAGCACAGTGACTGCCATGAAGATGCTCAGTGAATGCTGTCTCCAACCCACGTACTCCTAGCAAAGAATATTTTAGGCCTATTAGAAGACAAAGTGAGAGTTCCTCCTTACCAGTATATTATTCCATTTTTCTTCTGCTTTCTCATTCGCCACGAATGCTGTTGCTTCTATCAATGAATTGAAGGTGTGCACATCAGCTATAAAAGAAGAAAACTACTTTAACAAAATCTGGGGTTGAAGATTAAAGGCAAAGACATGCGCACATGTCTACAAAACTAGAAAACTATTCTTTTCTCTGGCTCTGGACTCCTGCTTCAATCACCAATACCACAGGAAAAGATTAAGAATGAACAAATGACTGAGGTAAAATCCTGAGATTTTATAGATGCCTGAGAGAAGGAAAGAAGAGGAAGGACAGAGGGGAATTCTCCAAACACACTTACCACGAAGTCTGTTGTTTAATAATTCAGTGTACAAGTTTAATGCCTGCGTAGGAGCTCGGTGCTGGAAAAGGGAAAGTATGAAAATTAAGGATCATCAAATTTGTTCATTTAAGAAATATGTGCGTATCGACTGCTCTAGGGTTTGGGAACACAGTAGTAAACAGATATGGTCTCATTCTCAAGAAACGTATCCTCCGTGCAGTGGTTCTCTACTGGGGCAACGCTGCTTCCCAGGAGACACTGAATAATGCTTGGAGACATTTTGGCTGTCACAGCTGGGGCGGGAAGGATGCACCACCGGCATGCAGTGGACAGGAGTGGCTCCTCAACGCCCTTCAAGGCGCTGGACAGCTCCACAAGAGCAGATTATCTGGCCCAACGGTGAACAGTTCTGAGGTTGAGAAGTGCTGATTTAGGGGAAGATAAAGATATATAAAACAGAGTTTCCCTGGTGGTGCAGTGGTTGAGAGTCCACCTGCCGAGGTAGGGGACGCAAGTTCGTGCCCCGGTTCGGGAAGATCCCACATGCCGCGGAGCGGCTGGGCCCGCGAGCCATGGCCGCTGAGCCTGCGTGTCCGGAGCCTGTGCTCCGCAACGGGAGAGGCCGCAACAGTGAGAGGCCCGCATACCGAAAAAAAAAAAAAAAATATATATATATATATATATATATATATATATATATAAAACAAACGTTACCTTCACCATTCCTCGGATCATTGTGCAGTAGGAATGTGCATTTTTCTCTGGCATTAGAGCAAAGATTCTCTCAGCATTGTTTTTTGCTCTAGACACAAGAAAGTAAATGTGAACCAGAGGAAACAGGAAAAACCAGTAATAGCCACCAACTTACCATGTTCCAGGCACCGTGCTAAGCATTTTATGTGTATAATTCCAAGTAATTCTTGCCACCCAGAGTGGAAGACATGGTTATCATCATTTTGAAAACAGGAAAAACTGAGGCTCAAAGACCTCAAGTTGTCCAAGGCTTTACAGGCTAAGTGGCAGAACCAGGACTGAAAAGGTGTAATATATACTCAAGGTATTAATCAAAAAGCAAACTGCACAGCAGGGTACATAGTGACGTTTCCCCACCCTCCTTCAATTGGATACAATTCCCCAGAGGCAACCACAGACAAGCGGTGTCTCTAGAATCCTTTGTCCTATTCTAGCCTATCAATGTGCTATGTTATACAAATCACGCTGTACCTTGATTCTCCCTGTTACCAGTATGTCTTGGAAATCAGACAGAACCAGGATTTGGGCCAAAATGGTGCTCCACAGTCAATGCTCTTAACCACTATGAGAAATTATTAATATCTACTGAAAAAAATTAATTTTTGATTCTATTCATTTTATCACTTCAAAAAAGACTTTAGATATTAATGGTAGCTTCCCTTTTTCAGACATCCATATGAAATACCTTTCTTTTATTTAGAGCTTCTACTCAGTTTTAATTCTGAAATGTTAAATGATATTCACCTTTTGTTCGGAAGTGAATACTTCTGTTTGCTGGCCACTAGTCTGAACTTAGAACTATGCTCTAGCATGTGTATTCTAACATAATAAACTGTGAATCTTTTAGAATTAGAGGTATATATTGCAGGGTAGGACTACTGATGAAACTACCAAAAGAACCATACCATGAAGGTTGCATGGAGTTAGATGGAAAAAAGAAGTCAGGTGTCAACCTTGTGCTGCTGGCTGGAGGCAAAGATCTAATGAAAAACGGTCCAAAATCATATGAAAACCAACTGAGACATTTATACTGCACACTGAAAACAAACTGCATTTTAGAATATTCCAGGATCGTATCTTCTTCAGGGGCTGATGGGGAACATTCCACGCACTGTACGGAGCCATAACACAAAGTTCTAATCATGCTGTAACACACCTCCAAGTAACTCCAAGCTGATGACCAGCCTTCTTCTTCGGTTTCTCGTTACTTCCCTCCGTGGCCTCTTCCTGAAATGAACCATCACCAACAGATATAAAACAAAATATGACAATGGAATGCATTCTCTGAGGAAACTTCAGAAAAGCAAAGGAAATACAGATCCAATAGAAGGCAAAAAGGAAACCCAGTGTTTATTAAGAAATATTAATTTCTAAAGTGTAGAGTATGCTCACTCCTCTCTGCCCACCTACGTATGAATTTTTGAGGGGGCTGGAACCAGGGGTTTTTGCCCCCGTCCCTTACACATCATACTATCACTTTAAGTAACAACAACAAAGGGGCCTGTCCAAACGTTTCTGGTCAAAGGTTTGCTGCATGTGGCAGGCAAGGTCAAAATATTTTTAAGGAGGGAACCAGGGCAAAACAATTGTTAAAATCCGTCTCCTTCTCCACATTTTTGTCCACGCTATGTACCATGCCCCACCACACCTCAGAACAAATCTCTTCGACCCTAACACATGGCACAAGAACCTGCCTTACTCTGAGGAGGTATAACTACCAAAAGAAACTTTAAAAATCACTGCCAAAGCCATTACCAACTCTTCTGCTTGTTCACGTTGTTGAAAATTATAATTAGTTGAGGGCTCTTGGTTACCATAGTAACATAATAAATCCAAGAGACGGTTAGTTGTTTCCAGAGATACGGTGGTTCCTGTGGGTAGTGAGAAAAAAGGGAAAGAAACCTTGAGGCATCCAAGAACTAGAGCCTACTAGATGAAAATTCTTCACTTTTCCATGAGCTGTGGCCTTCCTGGCCACCTATTCAGTCTCAGCCATCACCTTCTTGAGGGATGAGTGTGCACTCCACATCAGCTTAAACACGCGGAGCGACGCAGACAGGACACGATCCCTAACAGTGCCGGTGACAGAAAAGATAAAACACAAGGTCAAGTTTGACCCTGTGCTCATTTATTTTATGGACTCATATCCCCAGAGAAATTATCTCACGGTTCTAACTATCATCTTCAAACTGAAACCTCTGCAAATGACTGCCACGTCGTCCCCCGGGGCCAGTTCCATTTTTACAAATGCAAGCAGAACTATTCCACTTGGACCCAGGCCCTCACTGAAATACCTGCCTAGAAATACTAGCATAAATGCCTAATTATAGTAGCCTTTAAAAAATTATTGCTCAAAACATTATGTTCCCATCTTGACTCTTATGAAGGGGGAGAAAAGGGAACAGGAAGAAGTATGAAACATAATTTAGTGCTTTAAAAGAAAACTAACTGCATTTGTCTAAAGAAAATATACTGATAATACAAATGCCCATCAGGAAACTTAAAAGCCCAGAAAGGACAGCATGGCAGAGTGGATGGGACACCGGTGATGGAGTGTAACTTGATTGGGTCTTACCATCTCAAAGCTGTGTAACCCTAAAGATTACCTGTAGTCAGTTTCCTTTATAAAATGGCGAGAAGCACACCAACTCATAAGGTGTATAATTCAATGCCTAGCAAAGTACATGGCACTTATTAGGGGCCTGATAATAAAATTTTGTTTCCTCTCCCAGTATGCTGCCTCATTCCATTACTCTGAATGAGTCGAGTGTTACGGGTTCGACACACTGTCTGTAGTAATGCTTACTGAACATCTGCATGTGCCTACACCACACAGCGTGTAAAACAAAGGAAGACAAGTCTTAGCACTAAGATGTTTATCGTACTCAACCAGCAGGGGGAAAAGCCTCCCTAAATGATAACCTGCATCAGCAACTCATTTGTACACCCGAAGCTTTAACAGGCTACACACCAAAATTCTCAAATCAAACACAGCTTTCTGCAAATGTTTCTTGTTGTTTAAGGCTGTATTGAGTGACTCAGTCCAGTTTCTATCTCTTGCACGTTTGGCTGATTTTTCTCCTAAATCACTGAACAGCACTCGGGATTCTAAAACTTAATGCTGCTGCCTTCCATGTTACTATAGGTACATTCTCATGACAGCTTACAAGCCCTGGCTCCTAGATCTACACCCCTGGAGGTTCACCCAGATCGAATTCAGAGCCGCAGGACTGGACAGAAGTGACTTTTTCGAGGCCACAGCGCTAACTGGTGCCAGAACCTATCCAAACCTCTGATCCCGCAGCTTAGCGCTCTTTCCTTTTTAAATATTTCTTTTATGTCTGCTTTATGCCTTCCAAACATACTTAAAGAATATAGGAAATGTGAATAGAGTATGTACACACCTGATGTTAAAAACAGAAGCTAAGGAAGAACGGCTGTATAATTTGTCTGCCTCTGATACAGCACAAGAGGACAAGATACTAACAAAGTTGCAACTCTACCCCACCCACAGTTTTAAAATGATGCTCAAGCAGAACATGAAATATGACTTATTAAACTATAAAAAACACAAACACAGCCACTGAGCAGAGGAAGTAGCACAGCACTTGTAACTTATACTCGTAACTTATCTGGATCACATACGTAACTGTGGCCCACCTCCAAGCCCATGTTCCCAGAGAGGCTTCAAATGAACTTGGTCACCTGCTTGCAAGAGCTGATCGAACATGTCCACAGAAGCTTTGACTTTTCTGAGCTTGATTCGTTCCTGCAGAGCAGCCTCACTTATATCTTCAATCTGAGGTTCAAAGTACTCAGGCATAAAACACTAGGAAAACAAGATGGCTAAAGTTACTGCAAACAGGGCAACGTCAAAGGTAACTGGGTAGGACAAAATTTTGATCACCAACACACCAAAATAAAACTTCACTGCTCCGATTCATGCTTCATGCACCAGATACTATTTTTTTTAACAAGAATACCTCTGTAGGGAATATAACTTATTTCAAAAAACCTCTCCAGTCTCCAAAACAAGATTACTTAGCGATCTCCTAGCTTGGGGCGGAGAATTTAAAAGCACCCAAACATAAATATTTAATCCATATCTGAAGAATCTAATTTCCAACCAAACTTCCCAATTTCAAGGTGAACTTATTTTTCCCTTGCTAAAACCATCCTTCCTACTTTCCTCCCAATCTTGGTTAAAAGTGCCACAGGACACCCAGTTTGCAAAGACAGAAACCTTTCATCCTTGATACTTCTTTTACTCTAAACGTTTAGTACTACCAAGGTATGCTGATTTTACCTCACTCACCAATTTACCCAAATATTTATTGAAGGCCTACTACTCGATGCCAGGCACTAAGCTAGACACTGGGGATAAACAGACGGAAGTCATTCTCTACCCTCAAGATGCTCACAATCTAACAGAGAAAGCAAATAAGGAATAATTATGATACAGCGTGAATGATAAATGATGTAAGAGGTCTCAGAGGTATGCGAATGCTGCCCGCCATGGGGGCAGGGGATCCACGGACAGCTTTAAGCAGAAGTGAGCTAAACATAGAAGAGTAACTGTTAAGTCAGAAACTTAACGGGGAAAGGATAGCCAACAAATGATCATTCCACTGCTGCCACTGTCTTAGTTCAGGATTCTAATATTTTTATGGACACAATCACACTGACTACCTAATTTGTCCCCAAGAGTCGCTGCTTGAGCAGTACAAGAGGGTGTGTCTGAGTGTGTGTGTGTGAGTGCTTCGGAAAGTAGGGAGATGTGAGAGGGAGCAGTTTTAGACATAAAGAGTCTGAGTTACTATTTCCACTAATAAACTCAGGAGGGCAGAGCCCATGTTTCGTTCACCACTGTATGACACGCTAAGCACAAGGCCTAACACACAGCAGGCCCTGCACACTCCTCATGACTACAGAACAGAGGTAGCTGGAAATACAATCTGGAGTTCAAAGTAGAGATACCTAGGCCAGATATACAAGAATGCCAAATGGAGTATAAGGGTCACTGAAGCAGGAAGATTCTGGACAGAAAAAAGAGAAAGTGACTGAGCATGGAACCCTAAGAAAAAGACACCAAGGCTTAAGGAGTAGATGGAAAAGTTAATGAGGGAAACGAAAAAGGAACAGTCACAGAGGTAAAGATCTAAGAGTATGGTGTCACAGAAACCAAATGGGGAAAAAAAATGGAGAGCAAATACATATAGTTTAATAAAGGTTAGTATCGTAAGCAAAGATAACCATAAACATTAAAAGACTTTTCACCCAAATACTGTAGGCATTCAAATAGCTACTTAAATATGAGCCATAAAAACTTAGTTTAAGTTACAATTACATAGTATTATCTGAAAAGTCCAATTGCCTCTCCTTACCGGTATATGAGGTTCAGCTATGTCTTTCTGAAAATATTTGGGATACGAATTAATAATAAACTTTGCTGCATTCTCCCCGGACTTCTTTGCCAACAAAAATGAATGCTGTATAAAGAGAAAGATTTAGATATAAATTGATATAACCTGTAATTTAAACTCAAGAGATCAAAGTCACACCCTCAGCAAAAATTATTCTGCCCCCCTAAAAAAAAAAAGAGAATACAGATACACAGAATCCCAATTAGAAGTTAAACTACATAATTATTACTTATCTACCTCTGCTGAGTGTGACACAATTTCAGGTCACACCCTATATACAGCTTGAGGTATATAAAAGCAATGTGCTTACGCCGAGTGGACTGCTCTGCAGTGGGAAGAGCCCTAAGTACTAAAGGCCCAAACCAAATACTCTCTCCACAGGCAACCTCTAAAACTTTTTAATAAAAGGAGTAAAAGATTCAGAAAATCTACCAATTTATCTATCAGCATCTGTAAACTTTTCAAAAGTTTTTACAACTAAGCTATACATGTACTCTTGTACCCAAACCAACAAGATAAAACATAATACTAGAAAAGTTTCATAAAAATACTCACAGATTCCATAGAGGATGTTGGTATGAGATAAGGATCATCTTGAAATGCGTAAGGGGCAGCTGTAGCATCCTGTGGAGAAGACACAGAAGTCTCTTTAGCTAGATTTTTATTAAGAGGGCCTTGCGGGTTTTGGTGATGACTACAAACTCTGTAAAGTAAGTTTTAACCATACATGTATCACAGAAGCAGAAATATGTATGTTTGCAGACACTAAGACCTACACTGCACCCGTGGCTCTGTAGAGCTGTTTGTAATTATGCACAACTTAAAGCAAACAATGGCTCAAACCCCCATGACTGCTTTTTAATTGAAGGCTGCTATCACCAGGGACAATTGCTGTTTTAAACTGAAGGTCAAGAGCTTCTGAATTTACTAGCCTGGGCACCAGCTTCCTGCACTAAGGTTTCCTGCAAATGGAGGAGAGTAGTTACTGGGCCCTCTCTGGAGGCAGAACAGCAGCTTCTCCCGCGTCCTGTTGCCCAAGGTTCTATACTTCCAGGTAGAACCCTGAGCAAAATGAACTCTCCGGCACCACTAGAGGCTCTCTTAGAACAGCCCTCAAGTTACTTCTTCTGGCCTTCTCCTATCCCTTGGAGCCCCCTTCCCTGGGCCTTCTGGCAACTCTGTTCCACAGGAAAAACTCAACTTGCATCCTGAACCTCTTCTGTCCCCCTGATGCCTCGTCTTACTGACCTGGATTCTCCAGGGGAGCGCCTCCCTGCGGCTCCACAGGAAGGACGCTCATACCTAGGGCGCGGAGGCAGTACTCTTTGGGGTCCTCGCTTCCTGATGCCTGATGCTGTATTCCCTTTATACTCATTTGAGGCTCCTTTCATCTGGTTATACCACTCTCTACCAACATGTGGTGGGTATGTAATGGCAACGCAGAGGAAGCAGTTCTAGGGCAGTTGCCCTGGACTATTACTCCCCGATTACCAACTGTTGCTTGGCTCTGTCCTGTCCACCATCCTCATCAAATACCTGTTTGGGGCCCCTAGTTCTGTGACATGCTGGACTTCCCTTACTAGACTTACTCTTCCTATTTGTTTCCTACATTTTCCTCCCTCAATGATTTCCAAGCCCTTCATGGTTTCTGAGTAACAACTCTACTCTGGGCCTGTAGCTCAGATGCCTCACACTAAATTTATCCTCAACTGAACTTCCCTGACAGAGCTCCTTCTCCCTCCTATCTTCTCTGTCTCAGTGAATGGTACCAAGCACTCTGCAAGCCAAGCCAAAGATCCTCTCCTACTACTTCCACTCAACTAACCTGTCACCAGCTGTGGTCAACTCGAGCTCCTTAACATCCCCTACCTACTCCACCGTCCCTTATCCCCACTGCCACTGCCTTAGTTCAGTACCTTGCTTATTCATTCATTCCATATTTACTGAGCACCTCGAATGTGCCAGGCATTATTCTAGCTACCAAGGAGACAATAAAATCTTATCCCCCACAGAGCTCACAATTTAGTAGGGAAAAAAATCTCCAAACAACAAAAATAAATAAAACATATAGTAATTTTAAAGGCAATAACTGCTATGAGAAAGAAAGGAAGGGAGGGAGGGAGGGAGGGAAAACGAACTATCAGAGAAAAGAACCATACATTTATTTATTAATTCTTTTTTTTTTTTTTTTTTTTTTTTTTTTTGTGGTACGCGGGCCTCTCACTGTTGCGGCCTCTCCCATTGCGGAGCACAGGCTCCGGATGCGCAGGTTCAGCGGCCATGGCTCACGGGCCCAGCCGCTCCGCGGCATGAACCCGCGTCCCCTGCATCGGCAGGCGGACTCTCAACCACTGCGCCACCAAGGAAGCCCTAATTCTTTTTTTAAATTAATTAATTTATTTATTTTTGGCTGTGCTGGGTCTTCGTTGCTGTGCACAGGCTTTCTCTAGTTGTGGCGAGCAGGAGTTACTCTTAGTTGTGGTACACGGGCCTCTCATTGCTGTGGCTTCTCTTGGTGCGGAGCACAGACTCTAGGCGCATGGGCTTCAGTAGTTGTGGCACACGGGCTCAGTAGTTGTGGCTTGCAGGCTCTAGAGCGCAGGCTCAGTAGTTGTGGCACACGGGCTTAGCTGCTCTACGGCATGTGGGATCTTCCCGGACCAGGGCTCGAACCCATGTCCCCTGCATTGTCAGGTGGATTCTTAACCACTGTGCCACCAGGGAAGTCCCCGAAACATACAATTTTAAATGGTGTGGTTGAGGAAGGCCTCAATGAAAAGGCTTAAAGAGATGAAGGAGGAAATTATGTGGATATCTCAGGGAAAAATACTCCAGGCAGAATAAACAGCAAACATTAAAGCCCTGAGGCAGACCCAGGCCTACTAAGAAACTGAGAATTAGCCAGGAGGCCACGTAGAGCAGAGCCATCAAGGAAGACGGCAGGAGATGTGGCAGCGGGGGTGGCGGATGGACACGCAAGGCCTCAGAGGCCCTCGGATGGGCTTCAGCTTTTATTTGAATTATGACAAATGAGAAGCCATTTTATGATAAATGAGAAGACAAATGAATTCTGAGTAGCAGAGGGATGAGATTCAACACTGTAGCAGGTCACTATGTCTGTTTAATTGAGAACAGTCTGTAGGGGGCAGAGGAGGTGAAGAGGACAGAGACTGCTGTGATTCATCCAAGATGGTAAGAGATGACGGTGGCCTGGATGGCCAAGGCGACCACGGTGACGACAAGCGCTCGGGATTTGGATGCTGTGCAGGAAGAAAAGTTACCAGGCTTGAAACTGCTATTCTTAGAAAGGCCTGCTTACAAGGCCTGGTGGGCATCTGGGAACTTGGATTTTGGAGGGTTCCCACCATTCCCAGTACTGATCTAAACTGTACTATGTGGTTTATGCTAAACTCCTGCTTTCCTTCTGGGAGTGTGGAATTCTGGTATGTGCCAGACATAGACTCTGGGCACTGAGTCTGTAAAGAGCTTTCCTGGTAGACTTTTCCACGTGTTGTCAACTCTGCTGGAGGAATTAAGTGAGTCCTTTGTGACTGCACTGGGAAAACACTCTTGGAAGCTTTCTCCTGGTCTCCTTTGGACTTTACCCCACGTGCCTTCTTCTTTTACTGATTTTGCTTTGTGTCCTTTCGTTGTAATAAAACATAGCTGTAGGACCATATGCTGAGTCCTGTGAATCCTCCTAGCAAACCACTGAAGCTTGGCGTGGTCTTTGGAACTCCGTACACAAATATTTTGATGGAAGAAACAGGATTTACTGAAGTGCAGCACATGAAAAAGAGGAGCAACTAGAAGCATGGAGCTGCCATTAATGAGATGGCGAAGAATGTGTGAGTTTTAGAGAGAAAGGGGCTGGGCTTTGGACATGTTAAGATCATCATTATACATTTGAGAGAAAAGGTTTCTCGTATCCACATTGCTGTCTTTCCTAAATTTTTTTTTTTTTTCCTTTTTGCGGTACGCGGGCCTCTCACTGCTGTGGCCTCTCCCGTTGCGGAGCACAGGCTCTGGACGCGCAGGCTCAGTGGCCACGGCTCACGGGCGCAGCCGCTCCGCGGCATGTGGGATCTTCCCAGACTGGGGCACGAACCTGTGTCCCCTGCATCGGCAGGCGGACTCTCAACCACTGTGCCACCAGGGAATCCCCCTAAAATTTGAATGATTATGTCACACCACTGCTTAAAGTCTTTCAGTGGACTTGAATAAAAATCAGAAGACCCTAGCATAGCATTCATGCTCTTGCCTCACCTCTCATTGCTCTACCCCACAAATTCTTGCTTCCCCCATACAACCTACTCATTCTATGCCTTTGTGCCTCTGCTCCTGGTGCTGCCTCTGCTAGGAATGCTCTTCCCACTATCCTGGCTTCTCATCCTCCAAGCATCGATCCGATACCAGCTCTTCTGGAAGTCCTTCCCCAGTCTGGGTTATGCACCCTCTCCTCAGTGCTCCTCCAGCCTCCCTCTCTAGAAACTATGCAAGGACTCTGTCTTAATTCTACAACCAGCACAGAGCCTGGTAAGCACTGTTAAGGGCAGAATGTGTGGTTACTGAATGAATGAATGACTATCCCTTGGATCTTAAGTGCCCAAACACAGACAAGTCAGACAACTCCACACATAATTCTGTAACTTCTTTGACCTGAAAGGGCCCTGGGCCATTCTCATTAAAAAACTGAGAACAGTCTCAGAGGCTATTTCAAGAGTTTACATTTCAGGTGCCTATTTATGGATAAGTGAGCTGAAAATCTCAATGTCTTGCTAGTGTGGAGATGCCGTATTTAAAAACCCGTCCTCGGATACTGCTAGGGTGCATCAGTGCATATTTGGCCTGACAGCCTGTAAGTTTAGCATCTACAATAGAAGAAAAGTGCTGGAAATCTGTGATAACGGTCTCAGGGAGGGTCAGAATCCACACAGACATTGCAGCAACAAGAAAGGACTTAATTACTTTAGACATTTCCCCCACAGCTGAAAGTGAAAGTACAGTTTGCAGCTAATGAAAAATACAATCAATCAGAAAGTTCCATTTCTAAGGCATTAACCAGGGTTTCAGTTTATCTATCAAGACTACAGACTTTACTCTTGAACTGTCAAGAGAGCAAATTATTCACAAATAAATCAGCAAGATAGCTGCAGCAATAAGGAAATAGCTAGCACTTACCGAGCATGTCCTTTGTGTTAGGCACTGTCCAAAACCCTTTCACGTGTACTAACTTATTTAATTCTCACCCAAACCTCAAGGTTTGGTGCTATAATTAAATCCCCATTTTATAGATAAGGAAACAGAAGCATCAAGAGAAAAGGTCACTTTGTGATAAAGATGAAACAAAACATTTGGCTCCAGGACCCAGATTCTTAATCACTGAGTTGCTTCCAGCATGGTGGGTGCACTGTTCTCAAAGCTGGTCTACAGATCACGTGCATTAGAGTATCACACCCAAACCATTCCCCAGGAACATGCATTTCAACAAGCTCTTCAGGAGGTTCAGTTTAAAAATCACTGGCATAGTATAAAAACACTGAATTTGGAGAAAAAAGACATGGTACTAAGTCAGGGTTTTAATATCCTAAGTAGCCCTGCGCCAATCACTTTAAAAGCTTTAGTTTTCTCATTTGTCACATGAAGGGACTGAACTAGATATTTCTAATAAGAACCTCTCTAGATCTACAACAGTTTAACTGTGAATCATGCAGAGATATGAACATAACAGTTATTATTAGCTGAGTTAGATACAAAAACCTAAAATTCCTACTTACCCTGTGTACCGTGGATGCAAGTGCCTGAAGAACAGCCACTTTATCCCTAAGAATGAGAATCACAAGTTAACCCTCATGAGGGCTTTTCACACTCACAAAGCGAACAAGTGATCCTACTCTCAGAATGGACTGGCCAACAACAAAGTTCAGGTCTCAAGTAAAGCCAGTTCTGATCTCTCAAGATCACTAGAATAAGAAGTTAGAAAATGAGAAAACTGTTTAGTTCTCTTGCCCAAAGGTGGTTAGTACACGTTCCATGCTACGCTCTCTGGCCTGGTCCCTACAACCATCACCAAGGGCTAGCAATTTTCACCCTCATCTCATCAAACTGTCTAACCTGAATCTTTCCTCCTCCTACCCATTTTCCTATGCATTCTTACTGTAGCTTTCTGTAATATTCTTGCCTTTACTATCCAAACTGGTGGCTCTTAATTCAGCTATATATAAGAATAAATCACAAGCCGCACTCTGGACTGTTGAATCAGGACCCCCAGGTTCTGTGGAGAACCGTCACATTCATTCTTACTGAATTCCCAGATGATTCGAGTTTGGAACCTCTCAACTATATAACCTTTATAAGAAGTTCAGGCCAGCCACCCACTATGACTATGGGTAGAGACAATTCACTAACTATTGAAAAGAGGAGGTTTCACTGGAATAATTGACAAACAAAATAATTTGGTTTCAAATGTATTTTTACTTGTGTTAGATTTTGTGTTTCATTTCAAAAAGGGAAATAAGAATAAACTTAATAAACCAAATGTATTTTTTTAAATAAAGTTTAAACATACACTCATAATTTAAGTCATTTGAAAAAAAAGAAAACACGTAGGAAATTTTATACTATGTCAAGACTAATTCCCTGACATACACAACATCTACTGATTTTCTAAAATCACACTTACGTAATTTCAGTGAGAGAAAGATATTCTTTCATCTCTCAGTATTCCCTAACTAAATGCTACGTTAGCATATTTAAGTCGTATCAAGTGAGTACATCTTTACAACATACTGAACAAATATAAGTGAAAAAATTATGAACATTCAGATCACTCACTAAAAATAACCTCAATGAATACATTATACTTTAAAAAAAAAAAAAACTAGACTATTATATCTGGTGTCATTTTGCGACCCCCTCCTCCTCTACTGTAAGTTTGGTGTTTATAATTCCGGAACTTTAAAGGGTACTTTTACACACATACCACCATAAAACTAAATCGAAAACATATACTGTCATTCTGGATACGTGCTTCCATAAGCTTGACTGTATTATCTATGCTACGATGTGTAAATCTAATTAATTCCTTAAATATTATATAGTATGATAACTGCTTTTTATTATCCCCTTACATATGGGCATTTGGGCTATTTCAATTTCTTATTATTCCCAAGTTGTAAAGAACACTGTCATCCATGTCTCTCTGGGCGTATTTGCAGGGGTTCCTCCAGAACGGTTAACCGATAAAGTGTGCACATTTTAGGTCGTGGTTCTGCCCACTTTCCCTTCAAAGTGTTGTTCCAACTGACTGCCCAAGCAACAACCATATCTGAGCAACCATTTCTCCACATCCTCTTCTGTCCAATCTGGTAAGTTTTAACATCCATTCCTTTAATGAGCCCAGTTACCTATGCACCAATCATAATTGGGCTCCCTGCCCTCTCTACAGTAACTACACCATCCAGATTAGCATGCTCAGAATACTCTATCCTGTCACATTCCTATATGAAAACTCACAGTGACTCTCTACAATTTGTTAGTCTTCTACGGCATCTGTGATCTGGGAAAGATACCTTAAAAGCATCTTAACAGCCTTAAAAGATGCTTCATCTCTCAAATAAGGCAACAGGAATTTGCAGTCTTTTATGGCTTCTTCTAGGTCTAAAAGCACAAATTCCTGAGCCTGGAAAGCAGAGGCTATCAGAGAGCCTCTATCAATCGCTTTGTCTGTAAAGGGACAGACAGTAAGTATTTTCGGCTTTATGGGCCGTGAGGACTGTTGCAACTACCCAGCTCTGCCTTTGGAGCATAAAAGTAGGCACAGATAGTAAGTTAACAAACGAGTGAGGCTGTGTTCCAAAAAAAAATTTAACTGACACTGAAATCTGAATTTCACATAATTTTCACGTGTCATGAAATAGTCTTCTTCTTTCAACTATAAAAAATGTAAAAACCATTCTTACCTCATGGGCTGTAAATAAATAGGCCTCAGTTTGCTCTCTACCAACTACCTTATTTCTCCTATTCTAACAGAGCATTTTTCACAGGCCTGCCTGCATGGTCTCCTACTACCACCAGACAGATCATGATCATGTCCCACCCTACCTTACTGTTTCTATATCTGTGAGGCTTATAGTTTAGGGTTTATAAGAATTACCTGCAGGAATATGTATTTTAAACAAAATTCCCTGGTGATTCTGATGCCAACAAAATCATCTGACCCATTTTAAGGTACAGCTAAACTATGTTTTCAATAAAACTCACCTTGATTACTGCAATACAACCACTCTTCGTTCCATCATATCCTGTGTAGCCCCTAGTCATGTGTAAACAGTTATGTACACATGTAAAGTGGGTGTAAGACATAAAGTATAAAATATGCACACAACTCCACTAGACTTTAGTCCACCTGAACACATCCTCAATACACTCCCTCTCTTGTATTCCCTGTGGTACCTTTGTCAGGGATAGAGGCACAATGAGCTGGTAAGGTGCACTGGGCTGGAATGTCATTCAAGAAATGCCTCATTCACGATATGTATATTCCTACTCTTACCTTGGTTCTGATTCTCAGTCCAGGGAAGACAAAAATGACCCTGAATATAACCATATAATAAAATACTACGTAATCATTCAAAATTTAAAACAGTATAGAACGGTACATCTAACAAATCAACTCTGCTAAACTAAATGTATACGTACAACTTCAAATGTTATATCCCAGAACTTTAAAATAATAGGTATCACCTATTGAGATCTGATTCTGTGGCAGGAACTGTTCAAATGCTCATTTAATCCTAAGGCAGGTACTGTATTACCCACATTCTACTATGGCACAGACAGATTAGGTAACTTGCCTCTGAGTACAGTGATTGTTGGTAATTTTATTTCCTTTCTGCATGTTCAATTTATCCCACTGAACAATAACCATTAGTTACCTTGCTAATTAATGGCAATAACCATTAATTACTTTAGTAATTTAAGAAAGTTTTTTTTAAATGAGCCTGAATCTTCAGGTCATACTCAAAAAACACCTGGCTTTTTGAAGGATCTTTTTTTTTTTTTTTTTTTTTGCGGTATGCGGGCCTCTCACTGTTGTGGCCTCTCCCGTTACGGAGCACAGGCTCCGGACGCACAGGCTCAGCGGCCATGGCTCACGGGCCCAGCCGCTCCGTGGCATGTGGGATCTTCCCGGACCGGCACGAACCCGTGTCCCCTGCATCGGCAGGCGGACTCTCAACCACTGCGCCACCAGGGAAGCCCCCCATAAAGATATTTTTTTTAATCTCCCAATAACGTGAAAACTTCCTTTAAAAAAAAAATTACTCTAATAATGATGCTCATAATTGACCATCACTACGTAAACACTAACACAAATTTAGTTCAGAAGGTCTTTTAACTCTTAAGTAAATCTCATTCCCCATTCACACACTACTCTCTACCTTCCTCTTCTATGTTCTTTCAGACCCCTAAGCTTTTCTCTCCTCAATGGTTCCCTCCCCAAGAATGCTCTCCCATTGCTATTCCCGCCACTAGCTTCTTACCTAACAATGTTTCGCTCATAATAAGCACTTAACCACTTGCTGAATGAACACTGATGGAATACTCACCAAGTTTTCTTTTTTGGAATGACCACTTCTTCAGTCCCTTAATGTGAAAAATAAAACAAAGTGAATCAGTTTCCTAATACTACTACTATAAAGAAGTATAATGCATTAATATAAAAATTGAGTTACTTCAATATATTTTTATATACCTGTTGCACCAGCTCCTTCAACCACTGGGACGGCTGCACTTCCAGAATAAAATCTACAAAAAAATAAAAGCCCTAAAGCTAATACTCATTAATGAACTTCCCACCTCACCTCCACTTATGTGCAACTCAGCCAAAATTTTCCAATTATCACGGATCAAACCAACTGGACAATTCATGTCAGCGTATGCTGAGAAGACGTGGTCTCAATGGCAAGTTCAAAATGATTACAAAATATGTACCAGATATAGACATCATATTGCCAAAAAATTTTTAAATCAGGCCATCTCATTAAATAAAATCAGGGGAAAAAAGGAAAAATTTAGTAGCACTTGAACATCTGAGCAGCTTATCTGAAATATAAGGAACTTTCACCTTTGAGAACCCAAAACACTGAGGTTAAAGGGATGATGTAATGAGCTCCTGATTTTACATGGATGATGCCCTTATGACAATAAAAGATTATCCCACTTAAAGCAATTTTGACAAATTATGAAACTAAGATCACCACAGCCTTTCACTGCACTTCCTTCCACAATCAGGAATGTACCAAATGTACGTGTCCTAATTTAAACTTGGAACAATTTATATTATTTTTTTAACCCAAAATATAGAATCACTGACCCATGAATGAGTTTTAAAACGTTCTGACCATGCTAAAAAATAGAGTCAATATACCACACAGATAATGTACACTACCTTGTAAGTATTTCCTTCCTAAATAGCATTGGTACCATTCAGAAAATTGTCAAGATGTGATTAAATGAAGAATTACTTCCTCTACTAGTATCTGGTCTCGGGCACCATCTTAAAACAATACCTCTCTGCTACGGATCAACTTCAGAAAGGGATCAATTCTTTCACATCATGCTGTTTCTCGGGACATGTACGTCACATACACCACTCGTCTTGTGGGTGAAGACTGAGGGAGAGATGCTGCTGCCAAATCAAAGGAAATGGGTAGAAAAACAACAACACGGGGCACCACCGGGAAAAGGACTGGGATTGAACAGCAGCATTAAGGCTCCTGCACTACCAGGTGGAGCGTCTGCTCTTTTGTGAGGATTGAGGAGGGAAGATGTTACATATAAAATGTATATTGTAAATTACACACCTCACTTATTACTCACAATTTTCTGATGGCTACTACTAGCTCCGGTTTACACATAAGGGAATTTGTCTACTATCACTTCACAAAGGAAATGGCAAACATCGAATCCAAAATTAGGCTATTCCCAAATTTTCACAACAAATTCCCACCTCATACTTCCACAACGCCAGTTTGTACCTAGTGAAAAAAACTACACAAATGATACATGCGCCAAGTTTTAACAATCACAGCAATCCTATTCAGATTGTGTTCAGATCTTTTAGACTTTCTTGTTTTTATAAACACCTGTATAATTTCTTTGGCCAAACATCCCCACAACACCCAGCATACGGTGGAACTCGGAAACTGCCTTTAACTTGGGAAAACCTGATTTTTCCCCCCTTCCTCCCGGTGGGTGAAAACGGGTAAGAACGGATACAATTTGTCTTTCTTTTAAAACTTGGGGAGGCGTTGCCAATACCCACACTTACTAGAACGCAAGATCCACAACAGCAGGATCCTGAATCTTGCCAAGAGTTCTAACCCCGGGGTAGGCGAGCCCCAGCAATAAATATCCCCCTAACCAGCGCGTTTGGAGCCCTTCTTCAAGTACGCGGACTCCGCGTGCCAGCTTCTCGGGGCACGCAGCCGCGAGCGCACGCGCGCGCCTTCCACTCCACCGTACCTAGTTCCCCAGCTCTCCGGGGGTAAAGGGGATACATATGGCCCAGGTGATCCTGGGGTCTTTCTCATGGATTCTCCAAGCTTCTCTTACCTGCTACTGGGGTCCCGTCCGCAGACACCTGCCCGTCGACCCGTCAGCGGTAGGCAAAGCCCGCGGCGGACCCTCAACCAGCGAGCCGAATGTACGGCCGCCATCTTTGGCGTCTTCGCACAGCATACGGGGAAAGCATGCCCTCCACCTAAGGCTGTGGGGGAGGGGGGAGGGGGGCGTGGAATAGCTCGGCTATTGGCTGAGACGGAACAAGACGAAAGCAATCATAACATAGGAGGTTACAGTCCCATGGTTTGAAAGATTTTGCTTCGGAAGTTAAAGGCTCAGTACACCTCATTTGCCTCAAAGATATTTCCTAAAATATTATTTTAATGTCTTATATGTATTCGATTATTTTCAAAATAAAAGGGCGAGTGAGAGTCGTGAAATTATTTCCTTCCCCCCCTAGATCGGAAATGTTATCGTCCACGTAAATCTTCCCGCGAGCCTTTCTCGCGCGCGCAAGCGCAGTTTAAATCACATGGTAGCTGCGGGCCGGAGGTAGCGTTAGAAATATACCCGTGGTGACTGGAATTTCTCTCCGGCTGTCAGAGCTCGGAACTGACCTGGAGGATGTTGGGGTCAAAGAACATGCCCTGGCGGCGGCTGCAGGGCATTTCTTTCGGGATGTATTCGGCCGAAGAGCTCAAGTAAGGAGTTGGTGGGAAGCGTGCGGAACTTCTTGGGGTCGGGGCCACAAACTACCGTTCCCAGAAGGTCTGGCGCCCAATTTCTCCTCAGAGTCCATGGCTGTCTGGCGCATGGCCTGCTGGGACTCGTAGTTCCGGGAACGTCCCTGGCTAGTGAGCACTGCCTAGAACCCAGTGGGGCTAGGGAAGAGTTTGCCCTTGGGAAGGTGGGGGTACCCAGATTGCGGCGTTATCATCCGCCAGTCTCCTCGTTAATTAGCCTGCGTTTGTGTAGTTACTATAATGTCTCTGACGTGGTTTATTAAGCTCATGGTTAGTCTCCTCTTGTCTGTAAAATGATGATCGTTCGAGACTCAATTCATGCGACAACTTCTCCTTGCTAGGACCGCTTATATTCTCTGCCTAATTACTAAATCAAAGCGGCCCACTTCAGTCCTCATTTTGATCACCGTAGCATTTGACAGTCTTTCTCTTTTCCAGTACCTTATGTATTGTTTTCAGGTTCTTTTATTTCTGTGACAAGTACTACTTCTTTCTTCCCTTTATCAACCCACAAACATTTATCCATCATCCAGTTTTTGCCAGGCACTAAGCTAAGCATTCAGGACACATTGGTGAACAAGGTCGTTGCATTCGTGGTTTATATTCGAATTCGTTTCAGGCTCCTTAGCTGATTCCTCTTTTACTTAAATCTTGCTGTTCCTTGAGATTCTATTCTGGTCATACATGCTGCTTTTCTTGTCCTAAATGTCCTCCCTAGACAATTTCACCACTTTCCTGAGTGATACTCTCAAAATTTAAATCTCCAGACCAATTTTCGTTTCCTGATTCTTCAGACTCATTGTTTTCAGCTGTTTTTTGGACATCTCTATTTGAATTTCACACCGAGTTCTTAAACTCCTATACCAAAAACTCAACGACTACTTCCCCTAAAGGGAGAGGGAACTTGCCCCTCCAAAGTGGCGTACCTAGTCTAGTGCAAGATGGTCAATATTTTGTGACAGGACAAATATTCTAGATCTGTTTCTCCTGACATCTCATTTACTTATTGGGCTCTTACTGTGTGTCACCTACATGTCTATTCGTTCTATAACCTCCTTTTCAACACTACTGTTACTATCTTAGATCATACCCTTATCTCTTGTTTGAATTGTCTTTTTCTTCCGCCTCCCCTGCCCTTACACCAGTCCAGTGCATGCTCTACATTGCTGTTAAAATTATTCTTCCAAAGTGCAGATGTGATCATGCTACTCTCACCCTTAAAACCCTCCAGAGGCTTTCCATTTCCCAAAGGTAAATGATAGTTTCTTAGCTTGGCCTACAAATTTACCCATGAGCAGGCCAATGCTGATTTTTGCTAAAGCATCATCCCTTCGCCAGCCCTACTAAACCACTTGCACATTCCATAAAGTGCCGTGAGGTTTCAATGTCTGGGCCTTACCTCAAGCTATTTCCTCTGCGTGCATTGTCCTCTCTGCCAGAGGGATCTGCTTCTCTGCTCTTGCCCCCAACCCCCAGCAGACACCTGGAGAGCATCTCTCCCCCTCTTAAGGCTCAGCTCAACCTCCCTCATTTTCTGAGGTCTTTCCACACCTAGTACAGCTGTCTATTATGGTGCCTCAGTTCCTTTTTTGTTTATATTTCCGCCTCTCTCCACTAGCCTTGAGCTTCCTCATTCCTTTCTTTTATCCTCAACTCTGGTCGAATGACTGGATGAATAAACTGAGCTACAACGGTATGCTGGCCCAGAAATGTCAATTATATCATCACTAGCCATACATCCTATTTCATCCAAAAGCAAAATAATTGAATTTTTACAGGTTAATTGTGGAGTTTTTAGACAGGGAAGTGCATAAGCCAGTTTATACCCATTACTAGCATTGTAGACCTATTTGAGTCTGGGGTTGGCAAATATCAATCATTATGCTGCCTTTTATTGTGTTAAGTTCTAGTAGCTTCCTAGGTCACTTGGAGTAAAAGCCAAGTCCTTAAAATGCCTTGGAAATGTCATTCTGGCCCTTGCTACTTCTCTGAACTTACCTCTGTACTCACCCTGGCCTCCTTGCTGTTCCCGGAGCACCATAGTCACACATCCACCTCAGGGCCTTTGCACTCCCTGCTTCTTCCTCCTGTAAAGGTGACCACATGGCTCACTCCCCCATCTCCTTCAGGCTTTTGTTCAGTATAACCTTCTCAACAGGGGTTCCTCCAGCCACTGGCCCACTCTATTGTCCTTCTCCTTTTCTGCTTTACTTTTCTTCATAGAATGTTCTGCCATCCAATAGACTGTGTGCTTATCTTGGCTTTTGTCTGCCTGCCTTCAGTAGGATGTAAGGCCCATGAGCACAGGGATTCTGATCTGTTTTTCTAGCATCTAAAGGTGTGTCTGGCACATAACAAGCACTCAGTAGATATTTGTTAAGTGCACTCACGGGTGGATGGGGGAGCTATCTGTTCAGCGCTTGGTACTACCAGTCCTTACTGCAACCATCCGTGTTGGTGTCTGCAGTTACAGGAGAGGAAATTACTGTCCAGCAAATAAAATGACTCTCTAGGAGGCAGCAAAGGTCATCCTCAAACCCAAGTTTTCTAGTCTTAAACTCTTTTCTCTCCAGTGGAATCCTTGCTGATTGCTCTTCCCATTGCATCCCATTCCTGCAATGATCAGAGGAGTTTTCTCCTCTTCCCCAGCTAGAGAGAGGAACTTTGCTCCTTACCACATAGAAAGACTTAGGATGAAGATAAAAAAAAAAAATACATTCAGTTTTGGATGTGAGCTATTTGTGTTGCCTTGACAAGCACAGGACACAGTTCTTCTGCCAGTTAACACAGGTGTGTGCCGGCCTCACCTGCGTACTCTTTTTCCATCACTGTAGGCTCCAGGCAAGGGAAGTGAAGTACCAACTTACAGAACATGATAGAAAGAGGATCTAGTGGTACAAGTCTTTGCACCCAGACCTAATTAATTTGTGTTTGCCTTATGCAATAAATGTTTTCCTTGTTTTTAATTCCAGTTAAGTTTTTTTTTTGTTTTTTTTTGTTTTTTTTTTTTTGCGGTACGCGGGCCTCTCACTGCTGTGGCCTCTCCCATTGCGGAGCACAGGCTCCAGACACGCAGGCTCAGCGGCCGTGGCTCACGGGCTGTGGGATCTTCCCGGATCGGGGCACGAACCCGTGTCCCCTGCGTCGGCAGGCGGACTCAACCACTGTGCCACCAGGGAAGCCCCCAATTAAGTTTTAGAGCTTAGTGTAAAATGAATGAGAAGGAAATGTAGATGAATATTTATCCAACTTCGAAGGAGAAAGACTTAGCCCAAAGGTAGTGGAAGAAAGCAGCAGTGAGTTTAACTCATTAAAAAATTTTAAATTATGCAAATAATATCATGAAGAAAGTGAAAAGATGAGTCGGAAGAAATATCTGCAAATCATGTATCTGACAAAGGACTTGTATACTGAATATACAAAGCACTCTTACAACTCAATAATAAAACAGCAAACAACCCAATTACAAAACAGGTAAAGGATTTGAATAGACATTTCTCCAAAGAGAATATATAGATGGCCAGTAGGTACACAAAGATGTGCTCAACCTCATTAGTTATCAAAACCACAGTGAGATACTATGTCACACGCACTAGGATGGCTAGAGTCAAAAAGTCAGGTCATAAAATGTGTTGGCAAGAATGTGGAGAAGTTATGTTGGCAAGAATGTGGAGAAGTTAGAGCCTTGGTGTATTGCTGGTGGAACTGTAAAATGGTGCAGCCGCTTTGGAAAACAGTCTGGCAGTTCCTCAAAAAGTTAAACGTAGAGTTACCATATGACCAAGCACTTTCATTCCTAGGTATATATCCATGAGAAATGAAAAAAATATATTCACACAGAAACTTGTGTACAGGACTTCCCTGGTGGCGCAGTGGTTAAGAATCCGCCTGCCAACGCAGGGGACACGGGTTCAAGCCCTGGTCTGGGAAGATCCCACACGCCACGGAGCAACTAAGCCCATGTGCCACAACTACTGAGCCTGTGCTCTAGAGCCCGTGCGCCACAACTACTGAGCCTGTGTTCTAGAGCCGGCGTGCCGCAACTGCTGAGCCTACACGCCACATCTACTGAAGCCTGCGCGCCTAGAGCCTGTGCTCTGCAACAAGAGAAGCCACCGCAGTAAGCCCGCACACTGCAACGAAGAGTAGCCCCTGCTCACCGCAACTAGAGGAAGCCTGCACGCAGAAACGAAGACCCAATGCAGACCAAAATAAAAATTAATTAATTTTTAAAAAAAAAGAAGAGTACCCAGGAAATTTCCAATGCATTTGTAATTTAAAAAAAACTTGCACGCAAATTTTCCTGTCAGCATTATTTATAGTAGCCAAAGTATAAAACTAACCCAATAAAATATGGTGTATCCATGCAATGGAATATTTTTTGGCTATAAAAAAATGAAATACAGATACAGGCTGCAACATGGATGAACCTTGAAAACATGCGAGG